TTGCTTCTTTGCTCCGCCTCGGCGCCCTATGCTGGACATCCACTAGATGTAATTTGCACTTGTACAAGTGCCTTATAGACACAAAGCCTTTCGCTTAAACCTTATACCTCAATGTAATTTCATTTGCTGCTTGATTGCTGTGTACGTAATATTTATCAAATATCATATCATTGTAAAATTTGTACGTGATTGTACAAATTGTAATGAATGACTGCATTGAATCTTACGGAATGAAAAACAAATGCAATCGTTTTACCTTATAATTACGCTGGAGTGTTCCTGCTTCTTCAACCGTCGTCACTGCCTGGCACGGCGTACTGTACAAAGCTCATACCGACTGCGTTTGTCAGGCAATAATTATTATTGCGCGCCATTACGTCATATTCTTAATATAGCATTTGCTTTAGTATTGCCACAAAAGCCTCCCATCATCTATCTTAGGGTCCGCTTTTAGATCCCTACGCTATAGCAATGGTACGGCCGAGTGATGAAAAAAGGCCTTGGTTACCACTGGTGTATTTGAGCTCTCATTAGATTCATACTGCAAAACAAGTAACCTTAAGTCAGCACTTTACCGACGCACCACCAATATTAATGCGCACGAAACGCACGGACTGTATAATACAAGCATTGATCTCCATATACACAGACTGGATAGGACAACTATGGTGGCCGTTCATTGCCGTTCCCCTTTTTCAGTAAATATTTCAAAATTTACCGCTCTACATAGTTTTCTTTTCAAAATGTTTTAAAAAACTATTTTAGTTAATTCAAAAAAAATAGAATTCTTATAAAAATAATTTCAAAATAAAATTTTTTATAAAAAATAATTTCAAATTTAAAATGCTTATAAAAATAATTTCAAATTTAAATTGCTTATAAAAATAATTTCAAATTTAAATTTCTTATAAAAATATTTTCAAATTTAAATTGCTTTTAAAAATAATTTCAAATTTAAATTTTTTATAAAAATATTTTCAAATTTAATTCGCTTTTAAAAATAATTTCAAATTTAAATTTCTTATAAAAATATTTTCAAATTTAAATTGCTTATAAAAATAATTTCAAATTTAAATTTCTTATAAAAATATTTTCAAATTTGAATTGCTTTTAAAAATAATTTCAAATTTAAATTTCTTATAAAAATATTTTCAAATTTAAATTGTTTATAAAAATATTTTCAAGTTCATGTTTAAAATGAAAGTAGATTTTACACAAAATGAAAGTGATTTCAAAGTGAACTTCATATTCGTGACGGCCTATGGTTGCCACAGTATCCCACAGTGCTTTGCCGATGGGGATGCATAGAGTTAAACAATTTTATGTGGGGGTGATGGGCCGCGCGCTGTATCCAATATCGCGCAGTCTAGTACAGGGTAAGGACTAGTAGCAACTCTAGCTTTACAGTACAGATCGGTGTCATTGCGGAACCGAAGACACGAACGTGGGGCCTAGTGCTGACGGTTTTTACTCTCGAAATGACGCTTGGAAGGAGGATAATGACCTGAAAGAAGAGATGGACAAGTATGTAAAGCAACTGCTTAAACGAGAGGAGATTCTCAGTTTCTAGCCCCATAAATGTGGCCAATTTACAGGACTACCTCCGTAAACATAGGCCACTCGCCACCATGTACATGTACGTGATGTATACAAAAACATGTCGCACTTTTTTAGATGTCTAATTTTCGTGAAATTTCATGTTGAAATTTTGATACGAAAACATGTGCAAACGAATCTTGAAATATCACGAAATATAGACATCTGAAAAGGCAGCACTTTCTGATTAGACTTTAAAGAGGGTGAGTATGCTTCTAAAGCAAAAATAAACTATAAACTAAGCCTAAATGTGAAAATCATAATTTGACAAAGTGCGACAAGTTTTTGTACAATAGACATATAAGATGTTAATTTCAATTAATTCTGGCATGACAACCCATTGGAATGGTTCTTTTGACGTTCAGGGACTACCATGACCTGCTATTTGAAGATGACTGCTGTCCGCCATCTGTCAAAATGTCAATCTGCAATATTATCTCTTGCGCCAAAGGCTCTTGGTATGATGAACCATCCCATTTAAATCCACCACTACCTAACTTATTTGAGTGGTTATTTTGAGTTGTATCTTTATACCTATTTCTTTCTGTTATAACTTCTAACAATTTGTTTTAAATTAATTTGTTTTACTGGCTTAAGTAAATTTGTTCTCCATTGCATGGTTTATTATTTACACATGTTTTGCGTTACATATAGTTGCCATGGGCGTCGCCAGGATTTTTCTTGAGTGGGGCAAAGCACATTTCCCCCCAAATCCTTATGATTTCCTGCATTTTCCCGATTGATCATTTTTTCGAGGGTGGGCAGGGTATTTTCCCCCGGCGACCCCAACCCTTTAAATAAACAACAATATGATTTCGCCCCTCTCCCCCCCTTTTTTTTCTCCTGTTTTTTTGGCTTGCCCCCCCCCCCCCCCCCCCTCCACCCACCTCGCGACGCCCATGATAGTTGCCATTTGATTATTGTGATTATTTATTTCGCGTGCTATTGTAATGAATCTGTTGCTTATCATTCATCTGGTAAACAATTCCTAAATGTTCACTTCCTGGTGTTGGATTTTTTTTTATTTAATCAGCTGATTCATCTGTTTATATACATTTTTGTTTCGATATCGTTTTAACTTCAATATCACGAACGGTTAAGGAGAAAACCCGCGGAGAAAGTGGTCGGGTTGTGCCCGATCACTCAACAAGATCAAACATGTATATAGCTATGTAGGCAATTATACAGGCATCTTTCGAAGCCGGGGGCTTATATGAAGATGCCTTGACAAAACAAAACCGAAATGTCAACTCAACAATTACAGAAACAGACAATCGGACAAACACAAATAGAGACCATGGGATAAAATGTGAGGGTTAGAGAAAATAGAAAATGCCATAAATAAATAATCATGTAGCTAGTCATAAATTAAAGCTAAGCATCAATATTGTAAAATAAGTAAAAACGATATCGAAACAAAAATATAAATATACGGATGAATAAGCCGATTCAATAATAAAAAAAATCCAACACAAGGAAGTGAACATTTACGAATTTGTAACCAGATGAATGATAAGCAACAGATTAATTACAATCGCACGCGAAATAAACAATCAAAATAATCAAATGGCAACTATCATGGGCGTCGCGAGGGGGGGGGGGGTGCAAGCCAAAAAAAGGGAGAGTTCCTTACACTAACGATCGCACAAGGCATGATGGGAAACACCATGGCGCTGCAAGATCGTACCCACGGGGCACGAGGTTGGGATAGAGGATATCCATACAGCATTCACACAGTAGACTTTACATATTGACCAATTCGCCCCTGGTTTCACGAAGATGGCTGCGTATAATACGAACGTTCAGCGCGTATATACGCACACGTTGTATCAACAGTTGACGCGCACTTTAGTCACGTACACATATAATGATGTTCTAAAAGGGACACATTTCCGTAGTGATTATTATTTCCAAAACGCCGAAAAAGTGAACTGCGGCATTGAGAAAGTAAATCACGTCGTTAGAAAAATTGTAAACCTTGGTCAGTGGTGGTGGTCAAAATATAAGTCAAGTGAACCGCGATGTTACAAAAGAAATCATGCTGTCTATAAATTCGGCAACTTGTCCTTTGTAGATCACCAGCCGGTCTCACCGGTCTCACCAATATGGCGTCAAATTCATTCATTGTGCGGCTCCCTGTTCGCTATCCAGTCGTTATATAGAGATCAGTGGTTGACGTGCACCGTTCCTTGTGTGAGAGGACGCGCGTACACGTTATATGTACACGCAGTGGCCGCGCACCCCCAATTGTACTTCCTTTGCCGCTGAGGGGATGGGGGATATTTACCCCCCCCCCCCCCTCCTATATATTTCGTAAAGCGTGCCGTTTTTTACGAGCGCTCTTTCTTAACGAGCGCCCGTTTTTTGGAATGTTGCGCAAAAGTCGGCAAATGTGCCGCCATGAAAAGCGGCACCTATTGTCCGATATTGCCCATGATCGGCCGGTCTGAACAGCGCCCCCATAAGAAGATGGTGTCCAATCGCCCCACCATTTGCCCACGAAAACCGGGATCTGAACGTCCATGGACAGCCGAGTTTTGTGATCTTTTATATTGAAATACATGTGGATATAACGTGGTAATAGAGTATGAAAATTACGTGATTTTTTTCACAGATAAAAGTCAATAAGATGTACTTTAACCCTATTTCTTTTATCAAAATGGAGCCACATAATTTTAAGAATTCGGTTAATTTCTTTTCAATCCACCCTGTATTGTGGCTTGGTGGCTTCCATCTCATGAATTGCTTGAGTTGTTGGAAAGCTGATGTGTGGAACCGGATTTGTCGAAAGAAAGTTGTCGATGGAAGTCATCGCACTCTTTTCCTCTTTAGTGAGTTTATCTGCTATTGCATTTGGACCTTCTCCGTCTGGAGTTGCTCAATAACAGTTTCAACTCCGTTCCAACATCCAGCCTCCCACTCAATTGTGACGTTTGCGGTTTCCATTTTTATGCTGACCCCAGGTGCCCACCTGGGGTCAACATACAAATGGAGACCGCAAATACGGTCACACTTTTGGCACATTTGCAACATTTATTTTTAACGTGAACGTAATGCTACGTTTGTAAATATTTTCATAAGGATAATGTAATATTAAAATATAAATAAATTAAATAAATTAAATATAAAAAAAGACTGCACAGAACACGTGAGGGTTTCGTGGATCCAATAGTATAGTCGAGTGTTGTGTTCACAGTCTATTTACACAGCGCCCGCTGGAGTCGAAAAGATTGGGCTGCGCCATGTTGGAATTGTGTGAATAAAGTGTTTACTCTTGAATCTGAATTGCTCTTTCTCTCAGTACTGAATTTGTCACCCATTTATACACTTTGGAAATACTAGCATCAAGGCAGGACGAAAACTCTTCAGAACTACTAAAACGGTGCAAGAACAAAAATCAAATGTAAATTCAAGACATTTGAATTTCTTTATTGACCTCAATTGAGGACCGCGGCGATCAGAATCAAAACATTCTTTATATGTTAGACCTTCCATAAAGGTATGCATAATGGACGATAGAAAAGGAAATATAAGGAATTACAAAAATGCACGTGATGTTCTGATTTTACAGTTTTAAAACCCTTTCCCTGAACGGTTTCGTAAGACTAAAGTAGTTTATGATACAAAAGGCATCACAAAAATGAAATCAATGCAACTCATATTTTTAGCAACATACCCAAGCAAAACATAAATGAAGGTTTTGCCCCGTACAAATGTTCTGTATAACTATCATTACTGCATTCCTTCTTTTGGTTCCTTTGTACAAGTGGGCACTGCTCGTTTATTTTCTTCAGTGTTTATCCATGCAAAAAAAATCTCACCAAAAATAAATTGAACACTTCCGTTGCCACATTGCAATAAGTGGCATATCCAAAACGTGAACAAATAAACATCAACTCAATATTCCGCATATGACCGATTTGATCACGCCCCCTGTAAAATGTATCAGGCTATAATTCCTTTCTTTGAATGTGCGGCCAAAGAATATCAGATCGAGCCAACTGGGTTTAGAATTTAGGAGCTCAAATCATGAAGCCAACGCATCAGCCGATGCCATGATTTCGGGAAAGGCACAATATCAGTGTATTTAAAATATACATTATCCATCATACAAAAGCTCTTGAGTAAATATCTGAGTACGTTATACTTATATAAAGAATTAAGCATCAGTTCTCCAACATTCTAAGTGTAATTTTATGAAAAGTAGTGAAAAAATGGAGCCATACAAATTGCATTAAATCTAAACCTATTTCTGGCGCATGATCGACTGCTAAAACGTAAATGTAATAAGATATGTTAAAAAAAATATGTGGCTCGCTCAGTTTAATAAACATAGGGCGATTAAGTACATATTATTCACTGGTAACATTGAAAATGTCATGTATTTTGCGTGCTATTTTCACAAGCTAATATATTTTAATACACACATCCATAAATTCAGCTGTAAACCAATGAACATGTTTGTACATGCGTTTTCCTGATTTTAAGAAAGAACAAACATTTACCCAGGAAAACGGACAAAAATCACCATCATTATTTCAGAAAAATATTATCAAAATCTCACTTGTATCTGAATGTATGTGGGTAATCTGTGGTTCTCACATAATACAATATAGCTTCTTAGGGCATTCCATTGACAGCGCTAAAATGCAATCTTTTAGTAAAAAAATTAAATATAGTCTGTTTGTAACATTTTTAGTAAACTTCTAATGGCATGGATCAATTTCAGTATTTTATTTGTTGAAATGAGTGGAAAAAGCATGCTTGTTTAATGTACGCTTCGTTGGTGTGTCAACTGTTATTGCTTTTTAAGAGGCAAACAACCACTCCAGGTCACTTTCTTTTTCACTCATCCTGTATAATAGACAAATCTGACAGTCATTGACGTGGATAGTCACTGAGCACGCTGTAGGCCTAAACTCATACAAAGTTCGTGAATTACAACCTAAAATCAATGTCAGCCATCACCTAGATTAACCAAATGGATCTAATGGTCACAATCGAAGAAATAGCTCATTATGTGTTGTACAGACTTATTTCGTAATACTACAAATTCCGCCAAGTCTCACATAAAACTGAACCCTTCCGATGCCACATTGCATAGTAAGTTCCATAACCAGAAAAAAAATAAACTTCAACTCAATATTCCCAATACGCAGGATTTTATCCTGCCCCATGTAAAATGTATATGAGTGACTACTTTATTTGTTAAGTGTCAAACCTGGCTTTGGCTTTCATTGTTGTACGTCTTCGAATATGTGGCAACAAAATCCGATGATGCCAAAATCCCTACAGTGCACGGGAGCTCAACAAATTAAGCCAATGTCTGCATCCGATGCCGTGATTTCGAAAAATATTTCAATATTAGTCTGTGTAAAAAATACATTATCCTTTATGAAACAACAGCTCTTCAGTAAATATCTGAGTACGTTATGCTTTCTTCATTTATAAAAAAAAAAATAAGCGTCAATCAGTTCTCCAACTTTCATTTGAATTATTCTAGAAAGGAGCAGGACAATATTATTTCATTGCCTCTAAATCTATTTCTTGACGCATTGCATGAACGGCTAAAACCTAATGTACATCCAGATACAGCTTAACATGAAAAATCAAGAATTTATTTCTTCTTCCAACTCCAGATATCGTGATTCCATCAGGTCAAAGATCATCGATGACCTATTTAACGAGTTCTTGGTACTGTTGTTCACCGGTGGGGGGCGCTTGAGCCTGCGGATACTGCCCCTGCTGGGCTGGGTAGGCTATACATTCAAACAAACAAAAAACAAAGGAAAATGGCCCAATGCAGTTTTAAGGATAAGACAGTGTGTACATTCTCCGTTATGTAACAACAGCTTTTGAGGAAATATCTGAGTACACTTTTCTTCATTCACTGTATGAAATTTAAACGTCTGCAATATCTCTTTATTGACACATAAGGTAGTCAAAATGCTAAGAACTAATGTACATCCACATGCAACTTAACATGAATAAGTCAAGACTTAAATTCTGTTTCAACCCCTAGATATCACGCCTTCAGGTCAAAGTTCATCGATGACCTATTTAATGAGTTTTTGGTACCATTACTCACCGGTTGGGGGCGCTTGAGCTTGCGGATACTGCCCCTGCTGGGCTGGGTAGGCTAAACAAGAACAAGGGAAAATGGGCGACTAAAGAAGGGTGTTATACTTTTTATATACACATACACCAACGGGGGAACACATTATATGAATCAGGAGACTGCATGGGAGAGACCATAAGCCTGGGATTTTCCATCTGATCATTACTATAGCTTAAAATAATATTTTTTTTTAAGACGTCTCTTACCAACTTGTGGCTGACCAGGAATGTTGTAGAAAGCCGGTCCCTGGGTTGTGTGGCAACCACCAGGTGTGGTTGAGCTTGGTATTGGATCTGTCATTATGAGAACAATTCTACTTTATTTGCATGTTTGTTTTCTCTCAAATACATCATCCTCTAATTAAATACCTACCACCTTGCTATCGTACGTGTAATTGTTCATCCCAAATCTGAATGTGTTTTTCTTTTTACATCGACCTCTCCTCTTGACACCTAAGTGTTACCATAATGTTAACATTTAAAGTGTTCTAATTATTGTGATCTCTGAGCAAATATAGGTCTAAAAGGCATTCGCTTTATTTTCTCGAGTATTTGTTTCCGCGCTGAAACATATAGGCCTATTTATCCTTTCATAATTTCGTCTACTAGCTTCAGTGGTAGTTCAGGGCATGAAACGGACAATAACTACAAGGAGAGTTAAAAAAAAAAAAAAAAAAAGGAAACCCAAATGGTGGCCCCCTATTAAAAAAAAAAAGTACTGCATGTAGCGCTTGCCAGCTTTTGCCTAGATCATGTACCTTAATGTGATCCGTGGACAAAGTTGAAATGGTGTTTGTATTCAAAATTCCATAACTTGAAAAGTACGAGAGCGATTTGAATGATTCTTTCACTGAAAGAAAGTTTATTAATCGGGCTCTTACATCGTAGATCTGGAAAGCGCTACATGCAGAACGTCTTTTGAAGAAAAAAAATGAGAGCACCATTTCGGTTTCCTTTTTTTTTTCCACTCACCTTGTAGATTGTTTTTGTCAGAAGTGCTTTCGAAAGAAAGCCAATCAAAGGATGAAAGGTAGGCCTATATGGCCATATGCGATAATAACCGCCATACTTGTGATATACGCATGCCGCGATACATACGTTAGAAATGAGCGCACTATAGATTGTCAGCTAATTTAAAACTGGAGTTTACCTCAAAAGCATGAAATGCACGGTTTGTACAATCACAAGGTCTCAAAAGTCCTTGATGACCTAATCCCAAGGCACCATGTCCTAAGACAAGTCACAGTGAGCTGTTGTGACAAAGCCACTTCTATGTCATAATTTACAACCCATAAAACTGGACTTGTCAACTGAATTGATTTTTACTTGATCTAGATAAAAAAAGCAATGCAGATCTACAGAGGACATAACTTGGTGTTGTCACGTACCACAGTCTGAGTTGTTGATCCACCACTGCAGAGGGGACCACAGGTCATGCTGGCACCAACGATGGCGACAACAAACTCCACTAAGGCGAGAAGTATCAGTATAGCATAAACACCATTGATGGCCGCCTGCATAGAATCATTGCAAGAGATGATGTATTAGTTACCTTCACACTTCAGGGTATCCTTATTAAACCTAAATATCTTTGCGGTACGTAGGCCTAACGTTCCGTCTTGTAAACGTCTAGGTAGCTTTCAAAATCGTTTAACTTCATCATACACATTGAAACACAAATCGCAGTTTGGAAATACTTCAAATCAAGAAAAGCGGAGACGTGATTCTCATTAATATAGCGCCTCGAAATTGAAGCAACGACGGCAAATTCGCTGAGAAATAAACAAATGTAACAAATAAGACCATTAAAAAAAGATACACACCCCTGGAGGCAGAAACACGAAAACTTTTTTCATTATCAGGGGATTAAAGTTCGACTCACCTGCAAATAACAGAATGAAGGAGGGTAGTCATAGTACGAGACCCTCTGGCGAAGATAGCCATAAGTGTAGTAATAACGATAACGCGTATAAATTGGATGACAGACTTGATTGATGAGTGCCATCCTGGCGGCACCAAAACCAATGACGCAGCACGTCGCCAAACTAGCCAAGATGGACATGACCATGTAGCCGATAGCCTGTGCAGAAAAATCACAATTCCTTCAAAATCTTTCTAAAAGATTTTTTGTCCATTGGTGGAATTGGTCCAAGTCCATTAAAGTGGTCCTATGTTAATATTTAGGCCATATATCTGCGAAATATCACAGGACTGTATTCATTTGTTACTCCCCCACCCATTCTGAAGATTTCCCACTTCAAGGTAGCAATAGACTTGGACAAGTCTGGGTTGCGCTCGGTCTGTGCCTATATTGTAAATCCACTCACAAACAGCGCATATCGCCTTCGCACGTCCTTACAGTACATAACGCGCGCCCTCATGCGTCAAATCCGGACCAGCATGTTAAAACGTACATGTACATGTTATTTTCAAGTGATATTGCTAATTTTGCACCACATGTAAGCACATGCTCTGTAATACATGTACACACATGTACGTGTATTACGCGTGTTGTACAATGTACATACAGTGTGTGCGCATTCATGTTATACGGCACTGAACTGGAACGCGCGCTGAGGTGTACCTTGCAGTCGGGCATCTGGAAAGACGTAAACGAAGTGATTTTTGCTACTTTTTTTAAGATACCGACTTAAGGCAATTCCGACTTGAGTCAAGTCTAAGGTAGCAACAACTACACACTAGTAAAACTGCAGAGTAAGAAACCCTTTAATAACAGTAGCTTACCACTCCGGAATTCTTCTTCCATCCTGACACTATGCCCAAGATTCCAGCGACGACGTAGAACTGTACAAAAAAATCATTGCTGAGATTTAGGAAGGGCTAGAGGATTCATTAGGCGTCCACACGTGTGCAACAGATGTATACGAATCCAGCCAAAATGTTCATTTGGCAAAATATTGGACACTTTAACTCTCCGATGTAGATACAACGGAAGCAGTGGTGTACGCAGGATTTTTTCAAGGGGGGTGTTTCAAAATTGGATGTCGTCATTTATGACGCAAGAAATGAAGATGGTAAATTGTGTTGGCGCCAGAAATAAAAGATAGTATCAGTGGGCTAAACTTAACGCTAAAATAAAAGTCAGGAGTTTGTGTTGGCGCCAGAAATAAAAGAGGGTATATTTGGACGGGTTAAACTCGAAGGGCTGGGAACCCACGACCATCAGTTATCTTTTTGAGCTAAAGCATAGTAAATCGGGAAAAAAAATGTTCTGTGTCTTTAGAGTATATGATGAACATATGAGTAAAGGAGTCAATGTGGGCAGTCCCCCCCCCCCCAACAGCATTTAAACAAAAACAAAAAAGAAATTCAAGAAAAAAAGTGACACGGGCTGCGGAAGTGCTAGAATCTGTTCTTGTAATTGGCTAAAATTACTCAGCTTCGTCCCCTGGATCTCATGATTCTCATCCGTTGGGAATCTTTGTGTAAACCGCCCCCACCCCTAAGGCCAAACTTCAGATACGGGATACATATGCGCTCTGGTCACAGGAGCGGATTCAGACTGCCATTTGCCGGGGGGCCTAGAATTATTGTAATGAAGGGTCCATGACCTGCGAAGCCATTACGGCGAGGGGTCCAAGGCCCGCTTAAGGGCCCCGGAAAAATTGAGATTTTAGATGCTCTGTGGTGCAATCTGAGGCGATTCCTGGCCACTTCCACCGTTTAGAAAACGTTTTAAACATCGAAAATTCCATTTAAATTTGTTATTTTTGTTGTTGTTTACAAAGTTTGTTATGTACTCAAAGTTGAGAACCATGTTCATATCCGTATTTTTCACAATTTTCTATTTTGGAAAGGGATTTAGGCCACTTGTAGAGCCGTTCACTGCTGAAGGTACAAAATGGTGGGGGCACCGCTAGGGTGAAATTATAGCATAGAAGGAATTTGGCCGGAGGACCAATGCGAGCGCGGAGTGCGAAGCACTTACGGGTGGGGTCCGGGGCCCGCTTTTCCCTCCATTTTTTTTACATGGCAAAGGGGGGTGTTTGACAGCCAAAACACCCCTCCCCCCTGCGTACGCGCCTGAACGGAAGTGTCTGTTGTACAACGTAAACGTATCATTGCACACGTACACCGTTACCCCACCGTAAACCTCGTGCATGTAAACAACTTTTCTTCTTTTTTAATAAGAATTATTCCGCAAAATTCATTCCCCGCTCTCCACATAAGCCTCTGTTTAAAAGTACGATCATAATAGGCATCAAACCTACACAAGAAACAAAGAAACAAACGAATCAGTACTGTCAATAAACAAAGAATAGCATGGAATGAGGGTGAATATTGTACTTACTAAATACCACACCAAATTGGAGATCCGATGTCACTGATATAGTAGAACCGGCCAAATGCAGTCACGGTGGCAATCCCAAAAATGACGGTTAAGGAACCCAAAACCACTTGAATTATTCCTGTCCATAGAATACCCTTCCAGTTACCACTTCGAGGCTGTGGTTGACCGTGCCGAAAGTAACGCCGGCAGCGGGTTGCACCGTCACCTGGTGAATCAGGTTGAGTGTCAATGGTTTTCGGGGTATGACTCATTGGTCTTGTGTGGGCTCATATGCATTTTTCGGTACACTCTTTGAAACTCTCAGGATCACATATGGATGCCTCCACAAGTTCAAAACCAATCGATTCAATGTTTTCTTACCCTTTCATGGGCGAGGCCATAACATTTAAAATGGGGGGGGGGCTTCGCATGCAAAACAAACTGTTCAGATAATTTCAATTTTCTTTTTTCGCACTTTGACAACCCAAGTGCAAAATAACGAGAAAAAAGTTCCAGAATTTTTCCTCATTTTGGTTGGGGCCAACTTTTATAAAAGTGACAGGAAATCTACCTGAAACAGGCAATAGTGAACGGAATGAAGAAAATATTTACATGTCAAATTATAAAGTTTTTGTTCCCCTTTGGAGCGTGTCACAATTTTCTTCATAAAAAAAATGAATATAATCATAATCTTGAATATGACCAAAAACCCAGCAATCTTACCGAAAATTTGATGATGTTTTTTAAAGACATTATATAACAAAACATAAGGAGCTCATTATTATTTGTTAGCAATTTTAGTTGGCATGTCATTGCCTTAGGCGTAAAACAAAAATTTCCAAAAGTGGTATAGGAAGAGAGTATTTCATATAAAAACCCAAATTTGGGGGTTTTAGGTTTAAAATCAGCGAAATATAAGTTAATAGTTATGTTATTTTGGCAACTGAAATTCACATTCAAATTTGATTGTTACATCAATTTTTTTTTCTTTTTCCTTCCCTTAAGATTTTTTTTAATTCTTACATTTAAGTTAAGTGAAACAAAATTCTATCATTCTCCATTTTCATTAAAAAATATATGCACTAATTCCTCTTCATAGAAACGAAATAAAATTTGAAATGTTGCCGTATAATTTACTGCTTTAGACCGCCAAGTCAAAATTCAGAAGAAAAAATTGACATGAGTATGGAGAAATGGTTCAGTATCTTGTAAATTCATTTCCTCTAATTCCCAAATATGAAAAGTGTCTCCGCCCCCTTAATTAAGAGACAGTTTGTCTAAATTGTATGACCGATATTAAATTATAAATTCAAATATTTCCCCTGCTGCAAAATGTCTTGATAAGTGCCCCCTTTCCCTTTTTGGTTTATTTCGATACATTTTCCAAACGAACGCCCCGCCCACAAAAAGGTCAGAGAAAAATGTGGCTATTCAAATTGTCAAAGAATATACCCGACATTGCATATGTACGGCGCTCCATGAGTGCCATCCACTTCTTTATTTACTCAGATAATTTATCACGTCATGTTGAAATATCACCGAGAGTAAGGCGACTTAATCACATAATTGTATCGCCCAGTCGACTTACCGAAGTCGACTTGACGACTTGTCCAGATGTATTATCTCGCCAAGTCGACTTACCGAAGTCGACTTGGTGACTTGTCCAGATTCTTTATCTCTCCAAGTCGACTTCCATAAGTCGACATGACGACTTGTCCAGATGTATTATTTCGTCAAGTCGACTTTCCGAAGTCGAGATGACGACTTGTCCAGATGAAATATCTCGCTAAGTCGACTTCCTGATGTCGAGATGACAACTTGTCGAGATAAATTATCTCGCCAAGTCGACTTACGATGTGGAGATGATGACATGCAAAAATCACGTTCTGTATGGATATCCCGTTGTTGAAGCACTGTCGTTGATTCTTTCTTGTTCGTCGGTGCATTTGAGGTTTTCCCCACCCGTTCTTATATGAACAATAAACTGGCAGAAGAACAAGAGATAAACTGTATAGGGTATTGATTTGATCTGGGTCGAAGTTGATTTGTGGTTTTTTTTTTTCAACTTGTTCTAAATTACTCCCACAAGCTTCGTAGGAAATCAGACCTCTGCCTTGTTTCCCCCTATTTATCCCGTTGAAAAGTAATTCACTTCACGTTAAACATTAACAATTATAAATTCACAAAAATGTCTTTTAATTATTGACAGGTTGCCTAAAAATGACACTTACAAATTCAAGATTTGCTTTAAATCATATTGAGTTCATATTTAAGATAAATGACTCTCACGGCTTAAATTGGAATATCGGAAAATTAGCCAAACTCTTGTCTGATATATTACGAGAAATAAATTATAAAATAATTATACCAACACTGAGGCCAAAAAAAAAATCGGTCTGTCTCTGGTCAGCGCGCGCGTCGATTTTAATCATGCGCGTCGATCTTTTTTTTTCCAAAATGTTCCGCGGTAGCTCCAACAGCGCCCTCTATTTCCGCACCTCCTTATTTTTTTTTTTACCAAAGAGCACCAAGGAATGGGAAATTGCACCAAGGCAAATGATCGAAAGCACCAAGGCAAATTGTGGAGGACACCAATGTACATGAGGACACCAAAAAAGGAAAATAGTACCCACCTTGTCTGTACAATCCAAGCTTGAAGAAAAAAAAAAAAAGCAAGAAAAAAAAAGCAAAAAAAAAAAAAAAAAGCCGCGTGGCCGCGTCAATTCCGGAACTTTGGTCTGACCAGAGACCGAATATTTTTTTTTTGGGCCTAACCTTTCAAATACCCAAAACTATTCAATCATGCGTTGCATATTCGTCATGCTTAACAGCTTCTCCATAGATGATAATACCCAAACGCTTTGCATCAAAGCAACAATACCTTTTCAACTCTAATGACATCATTAATCATCCGCTTGTGCCGCTTCATGTGTGGAAAGGAAATAGACGAGCAGACGTTTTGCATTTTTTATGAACATCAACCAAAGAGACGCAACCATTAGTTGCCTTTGTGCGCCGCATTTTGATCAAATTTTCAGTCTCAGTGTCGTCGGGTATTAGTTTCTAGGAATGCTATTTAATAATTAAGAAATATCAAGTCCGTTTGCGAAAATAATTTACACGTTTCAAAATGTACCACAAACGTATTGACACTCAACTTTCCTTTAGTTCTAATTTTACATGTCTTTGTGTGTGTTTACTCGACTAAACCACAGATGTCCCCGTACTGCCCCATGAGTTTGTAAGCTGGATAAACACAGTCTACAAAGCAATAAATTACGTCGAATTTTTTGGTTTGT